CTGTGTGCCGAGGGGGGTGCCCCGGGTACCCGAGGGCATGTGAAGCGGTGTCTGGCGCTGCGGGGAGCGGAGGGGCCTCGCCGCCGTGCCACAGCTAGCCCTTCCGCGGCCGGTGTCTGAAGGACGTACCCCTCTTTTAGCAATAAACCTGTGTGTCCTGGGTTGCCAGCGGGGCAGACTTTCTGTTATGTCCGCTGTCAAAAGTTGTTCGTACACTAGAAAGTGGTGTTTCCAGGCCCCTTCCTGGTAGTTATTGTGTGTGACTAACGCAGCAACGACCAGCTCTGTAGCAGAAATAGCTTCAAATAACAAGTAGAAATTAAGTAAGTAAAAGACGCTGGGCAAGGCCTCTTGCAGTCGTGCAAGTTCTTCCTTCTAACAGTTCCTGTTGCTTCTGAGAATTGCCTGTCGTGAATAAAGAGTAATTTGTTTCCAGTGCAGTGAAACTCGAGACCAAGAATAGCGAAGCATCGGAAGAGTCCTGGCTGCGGCCGAGTATGTAGTGCCCGACAGGGATGGCTCCGGGGAAGATACAGCTATAGCACCTAGCGACTTTCTTCTGCGTGTTCTCGCTGACCGCTGATTCAGTAGGTCTGGGCAACCAGCAGATCACAACTTCAGTGAAGGAAGGAAGCCCTAGAGTACACTAAAAGCCAATGAGATAGTCATGTGCACTCTGTGAAAATTATCTGCAAATACATAATTTGGTATTTCGTTATATCCTACCCTGTTTGGGAAGGGACGCAGTTTGCCCAGCGGTCCAATTTAACTCACTTTCTTCATCTTTTAGCTGACATTTTACCTGTCTTTTGTCAAACACGAATCTTGTAAGCAACAATTTTTTATTTACCCCTTGTAAACATATCTGTTTGGAGATTTATTTTTTTTTTAAACATCTGATGTTATAAGGTGACTGTTAACCAGCTTTTACTCCATTAAGTATACAGATTTTTCATGTAGTGTACTGATGAGTTACATTGCAAAATATTCAGATCAAATAGCTGAAAATACAGACTAGACCATAGATGTCCAAGACATCAGTATGGAGATGCATTAGTTCTCTCATTCAAACTAGTACATTGTTAAAGCTTCAACTTAACCCCAGCTGACATAAAGGAAGACAAAAGTAACTCATGCTCACCCTGGGGCAAGGTTAGATAGCATACAGCAGCTCCATGTATAAGTATTTTCTTTTTAAGAACACTTAGAAAGCAGTGTAGAACAGAAAAGTCTTTTTTTTCCCTGGCAGTCTTAACAGAGTCCTGATCTTGGTGATATCTTGAACAATTTCCATAGGCCAGCTTTACCTTGTTTAGACTTGCTGCCTGTTTCATCAAATGCCTCCTCAGTCAGTATTACTGATTATCAGGGATCCTTGTGAAAAATAGTTTTGCCTATGTATATGATCTCTTTTGAATTTTTTTCTGCCTTAAACAGCCACAGCAGTTTTGGTTTTCCTCATTTTAGTCTTTCCATGCTTTCATTCATTCTCAACAACATGCTCGAAACCATCTTTATTACAAGGCTATGCAATATTTTGAGATAGGCTTCTTGTAAGGGAGTTTTGCAGGGTCTCAGGGATACCGATTATAGAATTTAGTCATTTTTACCAGATTACTCACAGATGTTATATCTTGAGCTCATCTGATCTGCCTGATTCTATGAACACAGGCAGATCCCTTGAAGATCCAGTTTTCCCCCAAGAGCTTACAGTCTAAATCACGTTCTTTTTCTTAGCACAGATTTAGAGAACTACAAGAAGGGAAATAATCCACCTAGAGCTGACTACTCCATCTGAAAATAAAATGATGCAGAACCTATTTTTAAGAGTTCTGTATCAAATTAAGAGGTAGACCAGTCTTTTGAGGCACCAGTGTTTGAAGCTGGATGCAGAGAAAGATCCATCCCAGCTGAGACTCTGGAAGGAGACAGTTGCCCAGTTCCAGCAAATGCTGGCTCTGCAGGAGGCAAAGCAGGTCAAAGACTTTGAATCCCTCACGTCTCAAATGTCGAGAGATGGCCACACATTCTAATCACAACACGTATACTAGCCTTGCCCTTTTTTATTGGAGGTAACTTCCATCAGAAGATAAAATTTGGGCTCTGGAAAAAGTTACTTTACACTAAGGAAGCAAATCCCGCAGCATGTTATGTTTCCGGCATAAATATTAGTTTTCTGTCTCTTATTTTGTGCCTGTATTAGATTAAGCATGACTTGGGCCACAGAGCTTTGAAGCTGTAGACCAAAGCTTTTATTTTGGGTCTAGTATTTAATAGGATCCAGTGAAATTGATTGATGCACTCAGGAAAATGCTTTTGATTAGCCTTTGTTGCTGAGCAGTGAGCCCCACAGCAGATCCACTGAGCTGTGGAGCACACACTACCCTCATGCCAGTCCTCAGTTTCCCACTTACACCAGGAAAATTACAGTAATTGGCCAAGGAATTCTGAACACCTATGTTAAGACAAGGAAGAGCACATCTGAGAGGACGTAGCACCATCTTCTTAACCACCAGAGGTAGAACACAAAACAGCTTTTAAGTTTTTTAGAGGTATACAAGAGCAATGAAGAATCCATATGAAATGGATACTGCAGACTGTCTTAATCCCAAGAACAGTTATTGCAGCCCCCAGCCAACAACTCCAGAGGTTATTTGCCTTCAGATGAGATGTTACACATGTGTCCAAGGGCCATAAAAGAGTGGTTGCATTTGATGTCGAGATGTACGTGTCACTCCTTTGTTATGTAATAGCGGAAATAAATTTAATTCTTCATAAGAAAGAAATCCCTCCATCTGGAAAGAAAGCCTGCAAGGCCCTGGAGATGTTCAAAGCACTTGCAGTTTGTCATGGAAACGAAGGGTGTCTTCCAAGAAGTAAATACGAATGAAACGCTGTCCTCTGTACTGTTGTCAGGCTCAGAGTCCCTGCAGATATTCTTGCCTCATTTGTTAGGTGCAGTCCAATTTCCAGAGTGAATGAGGAATTTCGTAACTGTCATCTGCCCTTCACAAAGTTTTTATGCCACATCTGCATGGAGTGTTTTTTCCAGGATCAGCATTATCATCATCATGTTGGGCAACTGCACAAGTGTATGGAAGGACACAAACCTTGCCCCGTTCAGCTGGATCGGAGAGACGCTACTTAGGATATCTGGTACCCAAAGTCTAGTTCCTTCATAACCTGGGGAATTTCATGGTACATGAATTTCACCTCATTCATGTAACAGTTGATTTATATTATGTAGAATTTAATGTCGGGTTTTGGTTTGGTATGGCAGCTGAATCGAAAGAAGTCTGGTGCTAAGTTAAAGGAGGCTATGTGTGTGCTAACATACGTAGTCGTGCAGTTTCTGTGTGTAAGGGACACAGAGGTTGTCTTACACATCAGAAGAGTACATGTCAGCCCTGGGAGTGCGAGGGCTGCATCCAGCCCTGGCTCATCACCTCTGTAGTTTTCCAGCATTCTGATTTTAAACAGTAAACACCTGGGGAAGAGTAATTTTTTTTTCTCTGCTTGTCATTAGCTTTTCCCTTGGCAACAGCTGCCTCTGAGGACAGAGGAAAAGCTCGTGCTATTTTACCACCTCCTCCCTTTCCCCGTCCCAACCCGTATGTGCTATGTGCAGCTCTGCCTGCACCTTCCATGCATTTTCCAGCTGCTGCCTCTCCTGTCCTCCAGCTGAAAATACCTCTTTGGCTGCTCGAGCTTGGATGCGAGTTGGCTGGGCATCCTCCGGAGATCCTAACAAGTGCCTTTCCACTGGCTCCCTTCCTTGCCGTGGCAGCCTCTTCCCTCCCACTCAGTTTGTAGTTGTGACAAGAAGCAATTGCCATGCTGTGAGGGCACAAGCAAAGCAAAAAACCTCAGTTAGGAAGAGGGCTCCTTCTGTTTAGAAATTTATTCTCATGGATAGAGAATCTCCCTATTACAGGGTTTGACATTAAATCCCATGTTTGGGATTTAATTACCAGGACTGGGAGGAACCCAGAGGCAAAACCCGTAAACTCCTGTGTTGCAGGAGCAGTGTTGCATACAGGGCTTGGCTGCTTAGAACCTGAGCGTCTGACAGGCACGACAGGATCCCTTTTGTCTGCTGGACACAGCACCCACCTCTACAGAAGTGGACGCCCAGTTCAGTCTGTACATGCCTGCATGTGTGCTTGCACCTGCTTACATGTATAAAACCGTGGCATATCAGAGACAGGGAGACCGGTAAAAAGCATGGGGAGTTATTCTCTGTTATTGTACAGTAGACGCTAAATTAGGACTCAGATTGGCACATGAGGAGTGATGTTCTCATTTTTGTGAGAGCCAGGATAAGTATGGATTGGGACGGCAAAGGAGGTGAGCGTAGCCAAAATAGAAAATCGATGCATAGAGGAGAAAGTGGGATACAGTCCACTTCACTCTCTATCAGACCCTCTGTATGACATTTTTCTTTTTCCTGTACACTGAGGTAGTGCAAATTTGGCTAAAACGAAACCTTTAAAAAGTCACTGATTTTTCCTTTTTGGGTGTCAGTTCACAATAATAGAGTTTAACACTGTGGCTGGGAAAAAAATCAGTTACTGCAGTTTAATGTCTGTAGGAAAGGACAGGGATGCTCCAGGCAATACACAAAGCAGGGAAGGACATGCCTCTCCAAAAGGCAGGCTGCCGTTGACACTGATCTTGAGACTAAAGAAGAAAAGATGGATGTGGGGAAGGTGACAGTAAGCAGTGGGTTTACAGAAAGGCATGTCCAGAAAAGTATCATGCTACATAAGAGACAGGATATCTGAAATAAGTTGCGAGCATTTTGTTTGAAGTTTTGTGGGAAAGGAGGATTCTTGATGAGGACTGTGAAGGTGAGAGTGTGCAGTTACTGGTCTCCTCTTGTGACCTTTTCAACTATCCAATGTTATTTTAAGTCCTAGACTCCCGTGTGAAAATGCTCCCATGAGCAGTGCTAAGTTTGAAAGTTGTGCCATATAATATGG